AAGTAATTTTCAAATAAAATATGGGTTAAATTAAATAATACTGCAATTTTTGCAGACGGACAGCAGGAGGGACAGGACAAAAACATTACCCCCTGTCTTCGGGGGCGTAAAGATATTTTATTAATTGATTATGACATCTTTGCCATTTTACCAACGAGTCTCATGCAGTATATGTTTTAATATCGACAATATGGACAATATATGCATAATTATATTACAGTATGGCGTTTCTCAGAAGCACATGGATTCTTGAAAAATATGAAGATTACTGGGGTTTTGCATCGATTAAATCTTACTTTAATTAGTATAAATTTTTAATCTGTATTTTTTTTTTAATTTTGCTAAATTAAATTTGATAAATTATGTGAAAATGGTTGCTTGAAAACTGTAAATACGCTTACTTTTTTAATTATATTTTCAACAGTGAAATACTGTGATTTATTTATTGAATAATTTAAGTGATATTCTCTCACAGTGTGAAAGGATACCAAAGTGATATTCTCTCACATGCATTTTGAAAGGATATTAAAGTTATAAGATAGAGACAGTAGCTAAACCGTCTTGATGGAGACTAAAACTGCCAATTTATTGCCAAATATGTTGCTAAAATTCATGTTACAATGTTTTTCAATCTCGAAACTGCTAAGCTGTATGACGTCTCAACCGCTCAACATGACTTCACAGCCTATGACACTGTGAGGCCAATCGGCACACCTCGGCCGATTCGACCTCATTAAACCTCGAGGTTTGATGAAGGTGACGGAATCAGCCGAGGTTTGCCGAATGACTGTGAGGCAAATGGATTAAGATCAAAGAAAATTTAATAAACAAAAAATTCAATGTTTCGTTGTTGGATATGGAATATATTAGCTGCAGAACTGTTAACTCGTGAGACAGGATTATTTAAAATATTTCATATAATATATGAAAATAATAAATATCTCCTGTCCCACTCGTTAAAAATAAATTCCATATCCAACTACAAAACATTGAATATCCTCTATATATTCTTTCTATACAATTTATGTTCTCTATTTATAATATCAAATGTTAAAAAACTATTCCCATGCCTTTTCACTTTAAGACTATTTTTATTTTCATGTAGTTATTACATGTTGACTCAATTTTCTTTTTAGCCATGGCACTCTGGAAATTTCTATCAACACTGCTCAAGATCGGCGACTGCACATTTTGCTTTTAAATCAGTGATCATAACTTATATATTCTATATCACTTAAATTGAGTTTGATTGAATTTTTCAATAATGACGTTTTATCAAATATTAAATGATTGTTGTCCGTAACTTAGATCCGCTTACCGTGTCCACCACCGTACATTTTTTTTTCTCTATACCAGCGAAAGTAAACTTTTACGGACATCGCCTTAAACCTATTGTATTAATAGAGGAGCAAGCACGAAGCATGACATCTGGTACAGGTGTTACGGAAATTTGTTTGCAAAATTTATTCATTTATAAGTATAGATTAGACAGAGCTGACATCTTCACTATATTTTTTATGATGAACTTATTACTTACTATATGAAATTTTATTCTTTAAAAAATCACCAATTGCACTAAGTCATGAGTTGATAATTTCGTTAATAGTCCCCTTCCGCTGAAAACAAAGATGTTTCCTCTCTGTCTGTCTCTCCATCTCTATCTGTTGTCAGTTCGTCCTACTTTGTTTTCTCCTATTTTTTTTCTACACGCTTGCCGATATTGAGCTGATTTTTTGATGTGCGAGTCTATCTGATCAACATCGCATTTCGTTTGCCTTGATTTTTGACGGAATTACAATTAAAAAAAAAGACAATTATCCAGCAGTTTTTATGCTGAAACTGCCTCTAAGGGAATATTTCAAAATCTACATACTTTATCAACTGTCGCGGGACCAAAACATTACGTAACAAGAAAGAAGTTATAAAACAGAGATTACTTTTTACTTGTGGCGATTATTTATCATCTGAGCAAACATATCCGGATTTCATCTTATAAATGATCAAAGATACTCTTAAATTTCTCTTTCGGATAAGAGTATAATTTGCCAAAATGTGTCTATTTTTACACAGAGTAATCCAGTCTCTTACACAATACAGTAGCGTAGGCGTTCACTTAGACCTGTTTATAATGTGGTGATATTTTATCCCGTTTTGACTGTCGACAGAAACCATCTATAACTCCGGGTACACAGCCGAGTTAATGCGTCAACACTGTACCGGACACCATAACTGACGATCAGAAGTCGACGTTTCTCCTCCTCATAATAAACTTAATGAACTTTTTCCATATTTTCATTTTTATTGCTGATAATAAATTGTTACTGTTTTACATACATTATATCAACAGTTAGGGAGGTAGAAACTGACGATGAGTCAATATTAATTATAGTTTGCTTATTCATAGATATCACGCAGAATACGCATTTCTTTGAAAATAACATATGACCACCTTCTTGCCCCCAAAAGATTTGTTATTTCTATTATTTTTTTTTCATTTTTTAATGCAAAGAATTTTAAAGCATGTATTATTTAATTTACACCATTAATTTTCTAATATTAAAGTAACTCCAATCAGAAATATAAGACTGGTCTCAATTTGCTGTAAAATGTTCCTCTGAAATAAAATGTGTCTGATCTCAATTTGCTGTAAAATGTTCCTCTGAAATAAAATGTGTCTGGATTTCTGTGTGATGCTTAATGATATAGGCCTATTTCAACGTTTCACGGAAAATTTTCATGAAGGACCCACTATTACCATTTCTGTGTTAAATGTATGTATGTTGCTCTCTACTTTTATCAATTCTGATCAGTGAAGATTCTGGTAGTCTGTAATTTAAAAATCTGAGACTAAGTTTACGGGAGACATCATGTTGCCTGTATAAAGTCAGCTATGACATGTTTAGTTCTTTGGATTTTCACCCCCAACGTGTTCCAGTAAAGACATAAAAGTGTGAATTCCAATGACAGGACAACATAGCAGTGGAACGCGGTGGACAATGATGTTTTTAATTTATTACAACTATAAATCATAATATATGTAATCAATTAATAACACATTTCTTGTCACTTGACAACTGTATAAGTGGTCAGTGTCATTAATTACCTCCTCTGTCCGGAGAGTTCTTTTTCCATTGATTCTGACTTACCTCACGCGAGCTTCTGTCATTTGTCTCCATAACCGTACACTCCACAAACAGCATCCAGTCATTTATAAAACGCCATCAGTGTGAGACACAGTGCAACCAAGGCAGGACATGACGAGATCCTCCCGGCGATGCTGAATATGTCAGTATAAATAATCTGCTGTCCCCAAAGCCAAAAAGTTATCATCAAAGAAAAGAAAAAAAACCCTTTAGTTTCTCTGTTCTACTTTGTAAAGCTCAGACTGTAGTTTGCCGGGCATTACAGCGGAAGCTCTGTTGCAGGCCAACAGGTTTCATGTTTACAACATAGTGACATACAGGTAGGATTTTTGCCTTAACTTGATTTCTTGTATCTGTGCTGGAGAAGTGCGTGTATTTAAGTGTTTTATAGAACGGATTTAAAGCAAAAGGTATTTTCCATAATTTCTGAAAACGAAACATGGAAATTTTAGTCGTACAGGTTGAAGTAAAGTTGTCGTTCTTAGCAAATTATTTCTCTGTCGACATGACCAAGTTGCTATGGAGAAAAAGGTAACTTTAATTTTGATTACTTAACATTTCTATACAATATTACTTTATTTTAAATTCTATCATTTTTTATTTTTACTAAGATGAGTAAATTATGTTAGTATTTTGTCAAACAGTAGTGTTCGTAGAGCAAGTTAGATATCTATGAATTTTAGAAAAATTAGCGAAAAAGGTTCACCTAGGATAATATGACATTGAGACCATGTATTATTAACACTTGATTTCACTCGACAGATTAATGGATTGATGAAAACCATTGATCTGGTAATGATAATAAGTAAATATATTTCGAGAATTCATTTCGAATACGATTTTTGAATGCTTTGATTCGTCTTTTTGAAATTTTAGAACAACATACTCAACACTAATAAATAATATCATTAAATTAGTTATATTTTCAATGTTTATCAACATATTCTGTATTTTTTTTTTTGGGGGGGGGGGGGGTATTTATTCGGTTCATACAAGCAAGTTAAACTGTGATTTGAGTGCATATCACTGTCTTTTATTATAGATATTAGATAAAGGAAAAGGTAACAAAAAAATCAGAAAGGAAAAGTGCGTGTGTTGCATTAGTATTTATAAAGATCAAATTGAAACATGACACATATGATAATTGTAAATTTAAACATGCAGTTGCACATGTATAATATGTTAGCAATTGAGTCCATCTAAATTTGACATTGACGGGAAGTTTACGGTTTAAGCTTGATAATGTCACACCCAAGGTGACAGGTTAATGGGCAGGGCCGGTCACTCTTTATAATGGGGCTATTAATTCTGTATACTTAGGATAGGTGGAAGCTGAATGTTTCATCATGTACGCAATACATATGTGTAATTGAATCCATAAACAAAAACAATTATTTCGTATAAAAACAAGAACATATTAACATTTCCAAGTAAGTTTATGTTGAGGGTGAAAGATTATTACAGAAAAGGTAAATGACAACAATATGAAGGTCAAAAGCGAACATCCTAATATTATTTTTCTAATTAAGAGCCACGAACTTAACAAATACCCTGTGGCCTGTTTATGAAATTGCTTAATTTTGTGATTTTTTACGCTTGTCTTTTTCAATTATATCAAGCTTGTGATTTCGATCACACGGGCACTCATGTTCTTGTCTATACATACGAGAAGGACAATTTGTATGACGCATGGCAAATCACAATTAAATGTTAAAACTCAAGCATCAAGTGAAAAATCACTATGTTCCCTCAGTTTGTGGGAGAGAAGTGCGGATATTATGTTTTTTAGCTGATAATTATTTAAGTTCACTTTTTATTGTTGCTAATTCTAACATGATCGTTTTGATGGTTTGCCTCTTGCAGTGGTTCCTGAAGCATGCGTTTGCCGATATTACTGGCACTTCTGGGCCTCTTCGTCCATAATGCCTATCTACAGTGTAAGGAATTATTTTCTTAAGTAGAAATGTGTTATTTATAAACAATTGCCACAATGATATATTGAATTTATTGTTATGCCTCACTTTTCGAGAATTTTAGAGTTGAAATAATGTAAATGCATGTATAGTCATTCTGAAAAGTAGTTTTTGGTTTTGCATTATCATGTCATATTTCAAATTGCATTATCATGTCATATTTTAAAGAGAAATATTATGTAATTGCATAGCGCATATCAATATTATAATTGAGTCAAAGATTTTTTTAGATATTTTAAAAAATTTAATGTAATTTTATTCGATTCTTAAAGAACAACACGGAAATCCCATTTATTGGATTTTTAATTTCTTTAAAATGAATATGTCAATTTTTATGGATATCAGTTATAGTGATTTTTTATGTTTTCTCAGGAGCGTCCAGAAAATTGTCTTAGAAACAATTATTTTATATTTGCTTCTTTATCCTCTGAGTTCATTTTTATATATCATGGAAGTAATCTATTTTTATTTGTTGAATTTTTTTAAATATTCAAACTTTTATGCTGCAGCAATGTGATAATTCAATTACATAAATTTATTTATTTATTTATTTTTACATTGTAATGAAATATTATTTGATAAAAACTAACTATTTCAGCGTTGAATTGTTATGTCCCAGCCGACATCATGATCTTATTGGACGGCTCCGACTCCATTCAGGACCGTGATTGGATCAAAATGAAGGAGTTCGTCAAACTTCTTATCGATAATTTCGATATCGCCCGAGACGCCATACACCTCGGTATGGTGGTCTACAGCTCTAGAATCGGAGATCATATCGGGCTGAACTCATTTAAGGACAAAAACATGCTTAAGCTTCTAGCAGGTGCTTTGAATCACCCCAAAGCAAGCACCAACACAGCGAAAGGAATAGAGTATGTGAGAGAGAAGTTCAAGATGGATGGAAGAGACAATGTTCCAAAAATAGCTATTGTCATCACGGACGGAAGTTCAGACAATCCTAGGGCTACCAAGCTCCAGGCTAACGCAGCTAAGAACGAGGGAATCAAGGTTCTAGCGGTGGGGGTTGGAGGGCACATGTTTAAAGACGAATTGAGGAACATTGCGTCCAAACCCAGTAAAATGTTCACATCTCCTACGTTTGGAACCTTGATAACTCTAGTTACAGAGATTAGGAATATGGTCTGTCAAGGTAAATTGAGACACATTTGTGACATTGTGAGTATCATTGTGTATCCCTCTAAATGTAAATTCATTCATTTGTTTTAAGTATTAATAACATTATTCCTCTTAATATATTCCAACTTCAGTTTTAGAAACATTATTGCTACCTGTACTTTTAAAAAACATTATTCCACTTTATTGCTTAGAAATGTTCCCCATTATTACATTTCAGTTACATTCCTCTGTTACATTCCAGTAACTTTATTCTTCCTCTGTTACATTTCAGTAACATCATTCCCACAATTATGTTTCAGTGACTTTATTCCCTTTGTTATGTTTCAATTATAACCACTAGTACAAGAACATCAGTTGCGAGTCAGTAACATTACACTTTAACGTCTATATTAGAAGTTACATCATTCCTATTATAATTACTTTTCAGTTTTTACCACAGCCACCACTAAGTACTACGTCAAAAATTATGTTTCTAATATTTTCCCCACTTTTAAGTTTCATTAACTCCCACTATAACATTTTTCTAACATTTTCAACACTTTTACATTTCAGTTACATGTATTATCATTACCACTACTACTACAACATCAGTTACTACATTTTAGTAACAGTATCCCCCTTTTACGATCCAGGAACAATATTTCCCCTGTAACACTTAAGTAACATTTTCCCCACTTTTACGTTTCAGTTATTACCACTACGACCACCACTACGACAACTCCAAAGATTCCGACAATGGCACCTATCTATGTTCCACCTCCAAAAGGTAAGTAACAAACTAAAATTACCCGTATAATAGTTAATTATAGTAAGAAAATGACCACTATTAAATTGATGGTACCACCATCAAAGGGATTAGTTATATTCAATATCTACTGTAAAACGAAAGCGTGACCACTTACAGGTAGCGAAAATTAAGTTTAGATCCAGAGACAAACTCAAGATAGTTAACGAGAGCTACATTATATTTTGTGAATCACTTTAATAATTTTCAGCGTTTGGGGCATTTCAGTACCGTTTTTGATGTAACATCTTCAGCTTTTTTTTTTTCGATTCAACTGAACTCACGGCGTTGTTTAAAATATCTGTTTAAGATCTGATCTGCAATGTTCCTGGGGATATTGTTTTCCTTATGGACGGAAGTGACAGTATCAGTGATGCCGATTTCATGCGCCAGAAAGCCTTTGTTGCCAACATGGTGGACAATTTTGAAATCAGTCCAGAAGCAATTCATGTCGGCATGGTGGTATTCTCCACTATGATTGGAGACGTTGTAGGGCTCCAACCTGCAAAGGGTAAATCCCTCCTCAAAATTCTTGCGAAGAGTTTGAAACATCCCAAAATAGGCACCAACACAGCAAAGGGTATACAGAGAGTTAGAAAGATGATGGCAGAGGAAGGAAGACAGTTTGCGCCCAAACTAGCAGTTGTCATTACTGATGGTCGGTCGACAAGGCCACAAGAGACTATTAGAGAGGCAAATCTAGCCAAGGCTGAAGGAATAACTATGATTGCCATTGGTGTAGGAACAGAGATATTCCAGGGTGAATTGAGGCAGTTGGCGTCTTCTCCACAGCAGATGTTTGAAGTCAGAGATTTCAGTAGACTGGGCCAAATCATAAATACCATGAGAGATCTAATCTGTCAAGGTACGGAAATATCACAAATTTTAAAAACATAGGTCAGTTCGAAGAATAATCAAATTATGAATAGCATTTTTTAAAAATTCAATAAGGTTTGTAATTATGTATTTCAGAGATAAAGACTACTACAACCACTACCACCACAACAGAGATGCCGACACCGCCACCGTCCACGGTGCCACCACCTGAGGGTAAGGCGTGAAAAATAGATGATTCAAATTTCTCATTTTGAATTTCCTTAACATTGTTACCGAAGGTGGTTGTTATTTTTTTCTATTCCAACAAACAAGTAAATTGAACTTTTCAGGTCTTATATGTAATGTTCCCGCGGATATTGGTATTCTATTGGATGGCTCCGACAGCATTGATGACCGTGGATGGACCAAAGAGAAGAACTTTGCTGCTAACTTGATTAACAACCTTGACATTGGCCCTGATACAATCCATGCCAGTGTGGTAGTATACAGCACATTGATTGGTCAAACTATTCCCTTTATACCTTTCAAACCGAAAACCTTGCTAACAATTCTTGCCAGAAACCTGAAACAACCAAAAGTTGGTACTAACACTGCAAAGGGTATTCAAAAAATGAGAGAGTACTTCCGCACGCAAGGTCGGCCTAATGCCCCAAAAGTCATGGTCATTGTAACAGATGGTCGATCCACTAGACCCAGTGCAACAATAATGGAAGCAGAACAAGCCAAGCGAGAGGGAATCATCGTTATTGCAGTTGGTGTTGGCACTCAGATCTTCAGAGATGAACTGCGACAAATCGCCACTAACGAAAGGAAGCTGTTTGAAGTGTCCGACTTTGCTGCCTTGCAACAAATAATCATCGCCATTAGAGATTTAATTTGTCAAGGTAAGTTTGCCATACGCTTCAGTTAGTATATGTATACGTGCTCATACACAATTGTTCTCCTCTCACCTAGCAGGGGCTATTTAGAGGTCGAAAGATCCAGTCTTAGTTTACTTCCTAAAAGGTCTTTAAGTCACTAATTTTAGGCTGCTTCATAAGTCTTAAAGTCAACAATCTTTACGCTGTGAATAGACTAAAAAGTTGCACGTGTGCGTTTTGGGGCGATACAGGGAAGCTATTTTGAGGTTAATGCTAAATTATTATTTAATACTTTTTCGTATCAGACAGTCAGTTCTTCATTTCTAACTTGAAAATTCATACTAATCCTATTGAGTAAAGTTCATTCTTGTATTATTACGTTTTACATAAATATCATTTAAAGTACCTGTCTGTCATTTGTCAAGAGATCATAAAGTTATGAAATTTGAGTTCATACATGATGACGAAGTAAAGCAGGTATGTTGTAGTTATTAATGTCCAATTAACACAGGAAATGTCATTTTTCTCTTGGGCAGACATGGAGCAAACTATCGCACTATGAACAAACTAAAAACACTATACAATTACTGTTTTAGCTAGCAGTTGTGCAATATTAAAGCTGATGTCCACTGCGTAATTACTGCATTATTTCTTTAGTTTACTTGGAGCACTTCCGTGTTAATGATTGAATTACAACAGACTTAATGTTGATGACTAGCCCCTAAAAGTCTTGTGATGTTGCATTAATCTCTCTTAATTTAGATTATCAAAGCTGAACTTAGTTGTGCTTTAAGGTACATTACAATTAGCTTTAACTAATAAATTGGCGGGTAAATAACGAAATGCCCGGATGACAATGTCGAGGAAGAAGGGGCACTGGGCAGGAATCCAGCTACGCCCAGAAAGAGAGAGATGACAACGTCACAGTTAAACATGGTTATCATTATTCATTGTCATTAAGGTGAGAAAGGCCAGAGCGGTCAGTAGTGATACTGAGCGAGCCCCGCCATTATCGAGATTGATGTTCCAACTGTGCATAGGTTACACTGTAATGTCTATCGTTGTGCGGAATACCCGCAGGCGCAGCCTAAAAAATACGTGTGAAGTGTACAAATCTATCCGTAGGATAATTTATAAAGAACAAGTGTATTTCTCAATTTTTATGTCATTTTTCTCTACTTGTTTATACTTTGAAAATATTCATAAATTAACTTTTCTTATTTTCAGTTTAAGTTCTTATTTCCTTTATTTTCATGTTTTTTTTTTATTGGTTATTTTTATTGTTAGATTTTACCAAATGATCCATTTAATATATCTGAGATAAATAATCAGTTATAATTATTATGTAGTAAGATTTAAATAAATCTAAACTGTTTCTTCAATAAAGATAAAACCAGAGAAGCAAGTTCACACTGACAAGGACGGAGAATGGGGGTATTATGATCAAATTTTCGGTATAAATGTCGATGTAGGAAGTCATTATGCTGTTTATGAATATTTTCAGTTATTACAACCACCCCGCCTATGCCGACGACCACCCCACAACCTACCACCACCACTCTGGAACCAAGTAAGTACACAAATATACAATTTAATTTATAGAGGTCAAATTTAATAAACAGAGGTAAATATCAATGTGAATGATGAAGTTTTTCTATCATCATTAAAAAAAACAAACAAATAAATAAATGAAAAATGATCAATTAATTAATTAATTGTTTATTAATTTATTTATACATTAATAAACTAAAAACTTTTGTAGTAATGCTGTTGTCATTTTGTTTGTATGATAGATAAACTTTCTGTTGTTTAATCATGAAGATTCAAATGAATATGAAATAATTAAAAACTAATTAAGAAGTAGAATGTATATCTAGCAGTAATTCCGAGTAGGGGCTGGGTTTACAACGTGCAATTATTTGGCTGGTTCAGTGATAAAGTTAGAATTTTGATATCTCAAAGATTCTGAGATGTAAACAAAATGAAACATCTTGAAAAAACTGTCTACCGATGCCATTTAATTTTCTTTTCATTTTATTTACTTTTTTTTAACAGGTGTTCATAAACACTTCTTTTTTTACAGTGACAATGTCACATTTGATTACTTTTCAAAATATTACCTTGTTATTTTGACATCACAAAAATCGTTGCCATTATTTATTAAATTTTGTCACTGTGGCAAATAAGAAAATTCCAATTTTTTTTTATCATATAAATGCATGTTTTTTCCCGTTACTCATTTTGAACAAGGGACTCTGGGGTATTAGAATCCTGATTGGCTTTTTGATGTATCTATTTTAAAGATTGTCTGAGGGTTGTGCTTAATATTTCTCGATGTTAAAAAAACCTTTTCCAACAGAGACAATACTTTTCATAATTCTGTTGAAGACAGGCGTTGCATTGACAACAGTTCTCAAACCGTTAGGTTGGGGGAGGCCACATTAAATGAAATGTCAACATTTAGTCAAACAATGCCAAATTACAGAATTACACATGTCGCAAAAATATCAAACGGCCTTCTGTAAATAATTTTAGAAATATTCCTTGTAAAATGTCTATTAAGGAAATAAAAGTCACGACATATCCGCTGTTATATCACACGGAATCATTGTTTTATCTAATAATAGATCATTTGAATATCAGTGAATGGTAGCAAGATTTTTTTTAAGCAGCGATATTTTGTTATGTTTTAAGTTAAATATAATTAAGACAAACATGAGAAATTAGCTACTGATGAACCGCTTTGAAGGTTTTACATTTTCCAAGTATCCTACAACATAGCTTTCAAAAAAAGGGGGAGGGGGGTAGATAAAATCATAGGCTATATACTGTCGCAGTAATACTAAGTAAAGATTTGTTCTAACACAAAAGATCCTCACATTTAAAATGAATTGTTAGTAAGTAACTGATTTTGTCCTTTTGTGCAGTTCCCGGCTGTGATGTTCCAGCTGAAATCATGTTCATGCTACAAGGTTCACAGGGCTTGAACGGACAAAGCTGGTCAGAGAGCAAGGACTTCCTCAGCACAATGGTCAACAACATGTACGTCAGTCCCAGCGCGCACCATTACGGTATGATCGTATACGGTAGTGGAATTGGAGACCACGTGGGTCTTCAGCCTTATAAAGACAAGTTCTCCTTACAGAACTACTTCAACTCTCTGATGAAACCAGCGACACCTGGTTCCAATGTAGCCGAAGGTACCCCCCCACATTCAATGCACTCAAAGAAAGATAGATTTGTTTCATTTCAATTCAATACTATTATTTTTATATGTATTTCTTTTAATTGCGCTCATGTTTTTTACCCATAAGCTTTGAAGAAAATGCGAGAAATGTTCCGAGAACAAGGTCGACCGTCAGCTCCGAAGATTGGAGTTATGATAACAAACGAACCGACGTCATCCCCACGACTCTCAATGGCTGAAACAGATCTTGCCAAAACAGAAGGCGTCAAACTCTTTACAGTTGGAGTTGGGAACTTAGTGGACAGAAATGAGTTGTTGAATACAGCCACTAGTGAAAGACATGTTCTCCTTACACCAAACACAAGGAGTTTGGAGTCTATTCTGCCAAATCTTCGTCACTTGATATGCGAAGGTAGCTAGCCTACAAAAAGTGTTCATTTGAGTACACAGGTATGTTTTGAATTTGACTATTTCTCACCTCTTTAATTTTATTGACAGAAATCCAAACACCAGTCACTCCACGCCCCCCACATCCGTCTCACAACTTTACAAGTAAGTTTACTATGATCGTCAGGTGTTTTTTTCTGTTGAAATTTGTGAAACATTTTTCCATCTTGAATTTTTCCTCCATAGGTTTGTGTGCCGGTTGCCTGTATGACAAGGGAACAGGATATAACTTCTTCCCCGGTGACTGCAGTAAATTCGTCCAGTGTTGGGAGGATAATGGCTACGTTCACGGTGTTGTGAAGGATTGTCCATTTGGAGAGTTCTGGAAACAAGATGAATTGAAGTGTAAACAATCAATACATGTCCATTGTAACATGGGTGAGTAAAGTTTATTGACAAGAAAATGAGCTTGGATCTGTTGATGGAAGAAGAACTTGAACAAGAAAAAATATGTCTGCAATTTCAGATCCCTGCTTACATGCTCCCAACGGATTCACTTACGGGATGGACAGCAGTGGATGTCGTGCAAATTGGGTTTGTGTCAATAGTCACAGTATTGGGTCATGTTGTGCCCCTGGAACTCACTACGTGGAGGGAATGGGATGTATGAGAGGTCTAGCATGTAACAAACCTTGTCCTCTGGGTGGTGGAAAGATTTTTACACGTAGGTTTTCAAGAAACATTAGAAGAATATTAACTTGTTTTGATAACTTCATCGTAGATTTTCGAATGAATACTTAAAGTCAGTTTTATTTCTCAAGCTTGCAAGAAACAACCGCATTGGGACAGAAGGTTCTACATGGATGATGTTCCACAGCAGAAAATCGTACGTCACTGTGCGCCAGGAACAATATTCAGCAAAGAGTACTGCACATGTATTCCTGATATGGAGGGTTTAATACCAGTGCTGCCTGGAGGTAAAATAACATTACAGATCTGATACAAAAAACTTACATAATTTTGAACTCACTCGTGTTCCAGATATTTTAGTATAAGGAATTTGAATATCTAGCCTCTTTTACTAGATCAGTGTAAAGCGTCAGCATATCTTCCATTTGACGTGGATTTGAAAGATAAATCGGGATCAAACACAGCAGTAATGGCTAGGAAAGTGACTGTCACGCCGTATGGTAGCGCTCATTTTACCGGAAATAGTGCTTTAACCTTGTACAAGTACGCAGATGCTACTCTGAGTGACAAGCTTCTAATCAGCTTCAAGTTCAAATTTGATCGATGGCCGGACAGTTTAGACCATGCAGGTATAAATAATATTAAAAGTAATTTCAAGAAATTATGTGTTTGCTAGTTTAAAAGGAGGCTCATTCATCAGTTGTAAATACATTGTTTAATCATTTCTACTGTTTTTCACAAATAAATGTCTTGCTTTATTTGGCATTGGAAATGCAAATCTGAAAAATTAAATCATCTCTTTTGATATTTTGTAGGTAGGGTAGTACATCTGGAGAAAGGTGAGACACACTGGAGATTTGACATACAGAGCAAGACATGGACACGTAACATAACCATTGGCGGAGGATGGGATGCTCAGAGACTAATGCGCATGTTTCGGAAGCTGATGGGTTCCACAACAGCACAGCAGATGAATTTGCATATGATAGAAATTGCTAATTCTCCTGACTTCAAAGCCTTGCTACACCATTTAGGATTTATGCCTGATGCAACCAATGCTCTTCAAATCCTCCGCATTTTATTTTCTGGAGAAGGCTCTGGTTTGATCAGTCAGATAATACAGAGAATTGGTCATGTCCATGGCTCTACAGAAATCAGAAGGTTGTTGTATAATCTTCTTCGTATTGAGGGAATGAACAAGTGGATAAGAGATCATACCGGAAACAATCATAAACATGTTTTGGTCAACTGGCAGCGATTCCTGAATTCACTTAATCTCAACGACAAAGACTGGAACAAAGGCAAGATCCATGGATTTAATGTCAACCACAACATGGGAAAACTTATTGCAGATCTCTGGAGAATATTCGTTAACGAAAGAGGCATGAACACAAGGGATTGGAGGGACCTCCTCAAAATTACCTTTGCCCCTGATAAACACAGCCACTTGGGAATAGAGTTTATGAATGAAATTGAAGGAGTGCTTGGTCGAAACAAAACAATAAAAGATCTATGGTTTGACTTTTTGAAAGGAAGAGGTGTTAGCGTTTCCATTTTTGGAAATTATAGCGGGAGCAGTGGGGAAGGTCATAAGCATAACAAAAAACACCAGCACTTCCTCCAGTACATAGAAGATTTAGTACGAAGTGGAAAAGGTGGGAAAATGTTGAACTACATATTGGGTGGAGGAAAAGTGCAGACCGACCACGGAGGCTTTACCCATCAAGGTCTTGGAAACATTGCAGATATCTGGAGGGAATACGTTACAGAAGCTAGACTAGACCAGGACAGTTCCATGTATCCGCATCTTACATGGACTCGCACTGGTGGAGGAACTGGTGGACAGAGAACGGATATATTTATTGATGAACTTAGAAATGTTTTGGGCAATGATACTATACGTAGCCATTTCCTTGACTTCATGCGAAAATATGATATCAACATAGTGGGTACGAGTAATGGATGGAAGCTTGAACGTGGTGGCCCCACAAATGATGTGGGTGCTTGGTTATATTGGCTTTTCACCCAGACTGGAAAAACAAAAGATGGATCTGGAACAAACACATCCACTTTCTGGCCCTGGTTAACTGTAGAAGGGTTAGAAGGATTGGATATAAGCCTGGTATATGAATGGATATTTGGTCCAGGTGGGTGGAATAATGGTGGGCGTATAGGAATAACCACTAACGGTATAACCACTCTAGCGGAACTATGGAAGCTATATATGGCAGAAAATCCATTAGATAGAAATAAGTGGGGTAATAAACTGATCTGGACATTGCGTAGTGGTAACAATGGCTACAGAGATAATTATTTGTTACTTAGAGAAATGAGACACATTTTATCTAACCAAGGCATGCTTAGAAGGTGGCAAGAATTCTTAAAAACACATAACTACAATATAGTACTTAATAATAACGGTTGGGATGTAATTAAAGGCGGGTCGCGCAATGACCTTGCCGCGTTCATTACATGGCTTTTCGTAGTGGTAGATGAAATGGAGAGCTCGTCATTAGGCACAGACTTTGACTGGATATTTGGAAACGACTGGAAAACGGGAATTACAAGTACTGGTATTCAGATTCTCGCTCAACTGTGGACAACGTTTATGAGGGAAACAAATATCGATAAAAACGCGTGGGGGAATGTACTCTTCTGGACACTTCGAACAAACACCGGTAAACCAGGACTACAGGACTATATTTTACTCCTTCGAGAAATGCGGCACATTCTTGGTGATGACTATTTCAGACAGCAGTGGTTGGAGTTCCTTGCGAGACACACATACAATATTGTATTAACACACAATGGCTGGGATGTAGTCAAAGGTGGATCTCAGAACAATATCGCCGAATTTATTTTCTGGCTTTTTGCCACTGTAGACGAAATTGAAGCTTCTGCTCCTGGAACCGACTTCAGCTGGATAATAAGTATTTCAGGATCAAACAATTTAAGAATAAGTATTACTCAAAACGGACTCCATGGCTTGATGAATCTGTGGGATATGTTCATTGCAGAATCAAACTTGGACAGAAATTCATGGGGAAGCGTTCTGTTCTGGACTTTACGTGCTCCAACAGACACTGTTCAGAACCAGCATTATATTTTGCTTTTGAAAGAAATGAGACATGCATTAGCCGATAATACAATGAGAAGCAGGTGGCTTCAGTTCCTCTCAAAACATAACTACAACATTGTATTAGTGAGAGAAGGGTGGGACATTGTAAAAGGTGGATCTATAAACGACGCATCGGCCTTCATCTTCTGGTTATTTAACATTGTAGACAGTATTGAGAATTCATCTATCAGTGATATTGATTGGATTTTCACTCAAGGAAAACAGAGTTGGGATCGATTCAACGGAAGGGGATTTACGATTTCGGGGTTGCAAAAACTAGTGGTTCTGTGGGAACAGTTTCTGTCACATATCCACATCGATACGTCTTTGTTTGGGAATATCATGCAATGGACGAACAGGAAGAAGACAACCGGTGAAGTTACCCATCAAGACTACCTTCTCTTTTTCCGGGAAATGAGACACCTACTGGACAACGAGATGATTAGAAATCAATTTATCGATTTCATGGCCAATAGCGGATATAACATCGTTCTTACAACCGTGGGATGGGAAGTGGAGCTTGGAGGAACACGAAACGACATTGCTGGTTTTATCTATTGGCTTGTTACGACTGTTGACGTCATCGAGTCGTCGGTACCAGGAACGATAATCGAGTGGCTGTTCATCACAGATGTTACGTCGTATATCGGTACGTCATCAAAAAATAAGTTTGCTCTTAATGGTATAAGGTCCCTTGCAAAGTTATGGGAAATATTTCTCGCGCAAAATAAAATCATTTCACAGAAGTGGGGTAAAGATTTACTTTGGACTCTGCGAAATGTCAAAGGCGCTGACAAAGTTAATTTTGTTTTACTATTGCAAGAAATGCGAAATATCCTCATTAAAGGCGATTTTAAAAATAAATGGAAAAAGCTTCTAACAGCGCGTAAGTGCAATGTTGCCTCCACATTAAATGGATGGGATTGTTATTGTGGTGCTAACATCAAAAGAGACGATACAGACGCTTTTCTTTATTGGCTATTCAAATCTTTTAGTACAAAAGAGTGGCATCACTCGACGCGATTGAAACTGAACAGTCGCATTCCTTTTGCTCCAAGTGGAATCAGAGCATTGGCACGATTTTGGCGCTGGTTTGTTTCGCGAAAAAGTGTTCGCAAAAGGGGCTGGCAGAAAAAGCGATGCTGGAGTAAAAAAAGAAATATCAACTATTTATCTCTTATTAAAGAGATGCGCAGCATTTTAGGCATTACTAGTGTGCGTCGTTCTTGGCTCCGCTGCATGAAAAGTTACAGCCGTCATGTTGTACTGACAACAGAAGGATGGGATGTATTAAGTCAGGGCTATGCCAATGACAATAAATTGTGGGTCTATTGGCTCTTTTCTGCATATGATGAGCTGATATCAACATCAACAAAAGCCCAGTATAATTGGTGGTTCGCAGGTATAGGGAACTATTCAGACTGGAGGGCTGGTAAGAATGAGTTCAACATTTCACCCGCTTTCTGATCCGCTGCTTCTAAACTCTGACGTCATTTCAAGCTCGCAATCTGCTTAGCTCAGTAGAAGTAGTACTAATGCGTTATTTATAGATAGGAAACACGTATGTCATGTGCTAGACAATAAAAAAAAGAAAGACTGTAATCTGCAGAAAATAACTCTTTATGGGTAAAGGCAGACAGGCGTATAATCAACATATATAATACATAACTGCACTAACAATGCATGGAATTGTGAATAATGTTATGTTTTTTTGTTTCTCAGTATCTTGAATTGATGTCTTTCGTGTCGCTTTTAGTATTATCAAAATATCATAATTTACATACAGTAGACACACCCACTGGAGGTCACAGGGAACTTCCCTTTGGCCCGGTAGTGAGGAAATACTACTGGGACTTTGACGACGAGGGCTGGCACAGACGTCTGTTCACTGGTTATCCGTCAGGCTGGTTCGGTTTAAAATACGGTTTCACAAAATATGGACGTAAGCATATAATGAATTTATGGAGAAGGTTTATTTCTCAGTTGAAGTTACAAAAATTCTCATGGAAGGACAAACTTGTTTGGTCCGACCGTGAGGACTTTTCTGAATCAGTTTCGGAATACATGGATTTTATCACAGAAATGCAAAGTCTACTATTCAATACTTCTTGTAAAGAAGATTGGTTAAAATTTTTAAACAATCAAAAAATCCGCCTGTCGTTAACGGAGAATGGATGGGACGTCAATGATGACGATCATGACGCCGACAACAGTGAATGGGTCAGGTGGCTGCTTCTATTTCCTATTGCTGGCTCAGGTAAAATTGGTGCATGTAAGGAAGATGCACGATTAGACCTAGAATAATACAGGTATTAAACAGTTCTGTACCATAAACCTGTCATATAATGTGGGTTGTCTATTACTAATCAAGTTTTTTTTCTTCAGCATCTACGGTATATTAGATAAATGTTAATATATTTGAGTTTAACAATATTTGTTGACGGGTAAAGTTTGTTTAACTCTATTTCTGTATATATTTGTAAGGAAAATAATTAGATAATTGTTAGCATAAGCATTGGTAAGTTGCTTGACTTCAGTATTGGTGTTCAGAAAACATCCTTCCCCCCTCTTCTTCACATTCCGTGGTCCGTGGAAACTTGCTCAAAATGACACATGCCTTATTATTTTTATTGATTATCTACGCTTCTTTGATACAAAGTAAAATAATTTCTTTAAACTTTTCTCAATAGTTATCCTCCTACAGCCTTTTTGTTGACAAAAAAATGTAGACCATCAAATTCTGCAATTTGATACATCGATGTTTAAAATAGTTTATGATGTTTCCACTTGAACAGAAATGCAAAAAAAAATGCCTTTACCCATTTCATACTGTTAGTTACTTTGTCAACTTTTTTAACTAACCTGTTCTGTCTGAAACAAGATATTTTTTAGAAACTATGTTTTTGAACTCGTATTCAAAAGTAAATCAATATAGTGGCACCTTAAGCAAGAATTTCTGGTTGATTTCTTGCACTTGTTAAACACCAGTAGCAGAGTTTAAGAAATGTTCTGTAGTATTTGCATGATTATATATTCCTAGTGTAGAATTTGTTATACTCGGACCTCATACCCACTTAGGCTTGATGTATAACGGCTTTGCTTTCTAACCTCCCCGTTTTAGGTTCATCTTGGATAGGGGGAACTTCCAGCGCCTCTTCGTCAGGAGGCATCAGTGGTCACCATGTGAACTCGGCTTTTGGCGAGGGCTGGTCTAATATACTCTTTGGCGGTCCTTCCGGTTCTCATTCAGGCGGAAGTTCGGGTGGTTCATCCACCGAGTCTTTAGACTCTATTTTGAAAAGTCTCTCTACTGGTTTCGCAGGTGGCTCTGGTACAAGTTCCATGCAGGACAGTCTAGATTACTACGGAGGAGGATACGGCATGGGGGATATGCTTGGTTTAATGGCTGCGGACGAATTGATGAGGAAGAAACGATCTACCGATAATGTACGACAAAAACGTCAGGCGCACTCATCTTTCCACTATCAGTCATTGGTTGGCAATTGTTATGGTAACAACCCTTCAATAGATATTGCAGCCAATGAACAAAATGTAAAAATGACATTGGTAACTGAAGGCAGCAGTCAGCCAGGGGAACTTATCCTGCCAATAGTATGTGTTCTGTATTTTATCTCCAGTTTTGTTATATCTTTTAAACCCTTGCAACAGAAATATTCATTCATATTTTGATACATGCAGGTCAAGGGGTGGAATGAAGTTACTCTAGTGTACAATGGAAGAGATATGCATGCAATGGTCAATAACTGGCAGGGAGAAAAGAAGACATCTATACCAATGAGAGGTATGTTTTAACTCGCATCAATTAATTATACATACGTCAGAAATTTAGGGGGGATTCTTCTCTTGCCCCCTTCTCCTGATTTATACGTTGAAGATTTCCTTTGTTAATCTTTATTTCTCCAACTATTTACTCCTTTGCAGATGTTTGGTATGTAATTTACACCTAGTCATAAAAATATTATTTACACATTACTTGAATTTGTGGAACATCTTGACGTCTTTTACGAGTGAATAATTAAAAGACGATCAAGCCTTAGATCATTAAGGATGTCTATAGTCTGTTTCATGGTAGCACCGCCTATCTCAAAATATACTAAAATCCTAGACCTACTAGGTTTCATTAATTTTTTTCCAAACTTTCTTATCTCAAATGACCCTTCAAGATTAACTAGTAAATTGAAACAGCGGCATATTCAAAGTTTAATGAGACTTAACACGAGAAAATGGATCCTCCATGATTTTATTTTCCTCTGCTTACCGACAGTAACAAAATGGCGTAGCAGATGAGAGAGGTCTTACTCGGAAAAACTCTGGACATAACAATTAGCCTGTGAGCTTGACTGAAGTTGTGGAAATAAATTCCGGGGTATTTCCTTAGAATTTAAAACATCGTGTCATTCTTGATCGTTTAAAATTGTACGTATTTAATCGGAGGAAAATGATTTTGGAATAATGAAATATGTTTTTGTAGAATTATTTTTCTACAACAATTTAAAAAATAATTTGGACTTGATACTTCATTCAGTGATGTGTATAACCTGACATTTTTTCAAGACATATCAGAGAAGAGAAAAAAATCTTGCATCACATGTCATAAATAAAAATTCACTGTATTTTGAAATGTGAAAATGACGAATAGCATACAGTCGCAAAAGACCCATTAAACAATTATGAGTAGAGCAAACATCAGAGGCTGGGATCAGGTGCCAGGAAGGAGTAAGCATCCCCTGACGACCTGTCAAACCCGCCAAATGCCCCTTGTCAGGATAGTGTAAACGGAAAAATCACAATTCAGTATGAAATAATGGCCTAACAATTTATATGAAAGACGTCAATAATTGACGAACGATAAATTGCATTTACAAACATGGTCATTGTATCGACAATAGAATTGATGAAATATTGAATGTAAACAAGATTGCTGATATCCTTTTATCATCAATTTATTTAACAGTAGCCTACCTTGTTACTCACAAAAGAATTTCTTCCCATGGTGATGTGTCAAACCTTGAATCCCATTTCTCAATTCTTGGTCATAGAGGGACTCAACAGTTTACCTAGCCCAGACTGGGTCCTTAAAATACATCAGTATAGCTTTTGTGACTTACGTGGTGTGTCATACTGCTCATTAAAGGCTTCATGCCAAATGTAAAATTCCATTTACCTTTCAATTAAAAGCTTTGAAATTACTCAATTTATCACATAATTCTTCTTCTTGGCAATTTGAAGGAATCACTGTTTAAGTCGTGCCTCAAAGATGAGATCATTACTACTGTTCATTTTGTGTTGATTTGAACGAAAACTAATGATAACTTTTAAAAATACTTCAAACAATACTTATGTTGACAAGAGTGAGTCATAACCCTGATCAATACCCGTTATAATAACAGGTATAGTAAGATATAATATAACATATAATAATAATGTTGAAGGACAAGCTGATTATAATCATTAAAAATATTCACAACATAACAATGAAGCCACAGATGAGAATGAACAATAAGTTTACACAGACCATGATCTTACCTGCTTTTATTGTTACGTCTTCATACTGCAATCAATCTTTGCTACAAATTGCAAGATAACCTCATTCAAAGACATTTTTTAGAATTCCTTGCATCTGTAGAACCAACCCTTAAGTCAATGCCATATCTTTAAAGCCAGAAAAGGGGATGGTTGATACTTTGAAATAATTGTTTAATAAAATTATTTTTCTGTTTTGATCTCTACAATTGCTTGTTTATTTCTGAATTTCCTTGGGAACAAAGTCTTAGAATGTACCGTCTTGTAGAGTAGGCTTTCCTCTTTAAATTCCCCTGGCAAACTTGCTCTAAAGCAGGACCAACCCACCCCCCGGAAAAAAGGCTTTAGAGTAGCATCTCCCCCACAAAAAAAATGACTCTGGAGTAAGATTTCATCCTACACTAGATTCGTTTTCTGGAGGGGGGAGGTCATATTCTGTGAAATAGTTATAGGGTGAAATTTCCGCCAGACCCCCTAATAAAATATCAAGTCTGTACTAATGTGTAAGGGGGAAGGGGGCGAAGTATTGTTATAAGTGCCCCTTCTATAATTTTCCCACAGTTGCTCTCGCAATAGACAATCTTTATGAATCTTCACAAAAAGTCTAATTTTGTCTTCAACATTTAAAATTTTCAAAATGGCGTCCAGTTCCATTGAAACGTACGAAATATGAAAATTGAAAATATTAAATCTCATTTTTTTTCCCTCAGTAACTGACCAACCAATTCGTTTGAAGTATTTCAGTCTTATTCTTTGCATCTGATCAAACTGGTTTTTAAAAAAAATATGGTACAGTGTAATAGCTGGATATATTTTAAGTGTAGCCATGGAAACAAAAAAGGAAGATTTATATTTTAAATGGATTTTTTTTCTCCAATTGTATTTCAAATTACATGTACATAATATTGATGTATTCTTTCCAACTTTTTTGGGCTTAAATATCAAAAATAGCCGCCGTTGCCAGGTAACACAAAAGGACAATTTCTAAAAAATTGAAATTTTGCAAAACTCTAAGAGAGCATTTGCTTTCTGCTTTCAAATTTCAAATCTAACATTACAATTTATTCAAATAAAATCTATATATCTTATTTTGACTTAGTATTTCTCCCACAATTTTTACAGTAGTGTATCTGTCTTGAATCCGTGGCCATTTTTCGCTCATCATCCTCGGGAAGCTTGAAAATGATGCGTAGAAATACCCCCGGTATGCTTTGATGTAAATCCTCTAAATGACTCTATTTGAACTCTTTTATTTAAAAATGGTACAAAAAATGGCGGTTTAAATCGAAGCAAACACAGCACCTAGATAAATTCCTTTTAATTATGCATTGCCTTTTAATGTGGATTTGTGTCCATTACATAAATTTATTCCAACAGTGGTTGAGGAAACAAAATGAAACTTGTGATAAAAAGGGTATGTCCCGATTTTAACCACAACAAGCGATCGAAGATGGGGCTGAATTTCCAGACGTGAAATATGAAGGACTGCCCAGAGATACGGTGAATCGTCAGTCCAAATATCTAGCCGAGCAGAATCTCCGCCGAGATTAAGGTCGAGGAGACACAACTATGCCAAAAGCAGTGTTTCTTCTTTTGTTTTTTTTCCCCTTTTTTCCTTTTGAAGGACTGCTCAATTCAAATACTCACAAAATGTTACGTGGAATCTGTCAAAAAAATATATTTTAGAAATTTTTTTTTTTGCACATTCTTTGTAAAAGTATAGATTCTTCGATAAAATATAAGGCCAGTACAGGGTAAACAAATTATTAAATCTCTCAAAGTGGCCTGATAAACATTTTAAAATTAGTGAAAAACAGGCATCGCTGCGCTAATTAAGAGAGGTGTTGAGACCTTGAGTCTTGAGATATTTTGAGGGACTAATTTTTTACAATTTTCCTCGAGTTAAAATTTTGAGTTGAGACTCAATGATTTGAACTATATGTTGTAAGTTGTCATACTAAAATTGAACAATTGAGTCGAAAACACTCGTATTTCCATTAAAGAGAGTTAACTCTCACATAAATTTTTAGCTAAAATATTGTTGATATTATTTTAAAATAGATAAAATAGGGAAATCCTACTCTGAGAATGAAAGAGGGAGAAATTTGGCTGTAGTGTGTGATTTCCACCCGGGGGAAGTTCTTCTTTAGAGTACAGATTACGGGGGGAAAGCTGGCTCAGGGGGATCCTACTCTACAAACCGGTATATAACTGGTGAAAAGTAGGAATATTCATCATCTTTTTCATGAAGAGCTCTCCATTTCTTTTTCTTTTTTTTTTCATTTTCAGGAAATATTCAGTCCAGACCAGAAGGAATTTCGCTGGGTTCCTGTCCAAAATATGATGGTCTCAAAGGAAAAATAGATGACGTAAGTTATTCAGATATAATAAATGAGCTATATTTATCTGAAATGCGTTCATCACGAAGAATGTAAGATCCGCTCCCATTATGCCTGGTAGGAGAGAGCTCCAAACAACGGCTTCAGACAATGCTTGAATGTTAACCCTTATGACAATATGGTTCAAGAATGTGTAAAAAGAAATGCTTTTTTTCCGTCTTCAAGAGAGTTTTTAGTTAGCTTGGTTAATTATTTAACCCTGTTTATTTTGCAGTTTGTGTTTTATGAGTGCATTCCATTGGCTATACAGAACAAGATTGGACAGTTGTAGCCGTGGCGTGTGTGAAAACTTTTTTTAAAATTCCTCTCCCTCCCTTTGACAACAAGAGGAATGTTTACATCTTTCATCATTATTCATCTTCATGGGATGTGCAGTTAACATGGACTGAGGAATTCTATCCGACAGAACAATGTAATAGTACCATATTCTGGGGTTCCCGAAAACCTGTTATTAACAACTTTGACAAAAGAGTTTGTCTCATTAACAACATACGTACCTAAACAGAACAAATAAAATCATTCGTTACAAGTATGGTGCTCTAGTCCCAAACTAAGAGAAACTGTTGTGTAAAATAAATCATATTTACTGAGGAAATCTTCCTTTTTATCATTTCACTTGATCACTTAATGATCAATCTGGAAAACCATGTTCTTTCTCCTTCATATCTGGAAAACCATGTTCTTTCTCCTTCATCAATTCATGGTTTTCATAAATGGACCAAGTTTTTTCCAACAACAAAGAGGTAACTGCTTTTTGGTACATACATTTGTCACTCTAATACTTTAAATAGCATTTCTGTCTACATTTGTGGAAAATTAATGAAAAAAACGATTTATACATGGGTGAATTAAAAAATATTGAGTTACTGAAAAGGAAAAGGATGAAGAAGAACAAGTCTCATACGTTCTTTTGTGGATTGGTGAGAAGGGTCGTGATATTTATAATACATTTCCAGCATTTTCGAACGATGATCTGAAAAATCTGCAACCACGCTTCGATAGATTTCTCAGGTACGTTCAACCCAAGTTAAACCCAATCTTCACCAGATACAAGTTTAACAATGAATACAGGGACCAAACACGTTTGATCAGTTTGTAACGAAATTGAAACTTTTGGCCAGAGACTGTAATTTTAAAGACACTGATGAAATGATTAGAGACAGAGTTGTGTTCGGTATTCAATCAGAAAAAATTCGGGAAAAGCTGATTAATGTTGACGAGGAACTAACACTCGATAAAGCTTTTCAGATAGCTCAGGCATACGAGTACTCTCAGGAACAGCTTAAACTCGTGGGATAGCAGTCAGCACATGTGCAAGCAGTGTCCAAGTCTACACCCAGTGTACACTCATCAACAGAGAGGAGCGGAAGGAGACCACCCTTCCAGACAAAGACTCGATCCAATCCGACAAAGACTTCTGCCACCCCGACAAAGTTTCCATCTACAACAACGAAGACGAAGCCATGCGGCAAGTGCAGAAAGCGACATGGATTTCAAGATACTTGTCCGGCGCAAGGTCAGAGGTGCAACAACTGCCACAAGTGAAACCACTTTGCCAGTGTTTGTCGTTCGCGATCAGTAAATGACATTAATCATGCAAATTCTAGTAACTGTCCGCAGAAGTCCAGTGAAATGAACAATGTTAATTGCAGTAGTGATTCTTCACAGAGATCTGTTGACATTAATTATGATAGAGTATTTGACAATGATGTTCATGAGTCAGATTCAGACTTTAATATTGACAATGTTGATAGGAATGTTGGGCATGATCAAGCATTTATTAACATTAAGCTAGGCCCAAAACACAAAGAGGTTAAGTTCAAAGTAGATACAGGGTCTCAGGTCAATATTCTGCCCAATTCTTTGTACAGTGATTTAGCCCCCTGTCACACATTAAGCAAATCTAAGATCAAGCTTTTTGCTTATAATGGTCACTCTGTACACCCTTTAGGCTATTCTGTTATTCAAAGCAACCTTAAGGGTAAAGACTATAGCATTGAGTATCAGGTCGTACAGACACACTTGCATCCAATTCTAGGTTTACGAGCATGCTTAGATCTAGGCATAGTTCACCTCAAGTACTCTATTGATAAGCTTATGCCCTTCAGTAAGAGTCATGTACTTAGTCAGAAGTCAGATGTATTCCACGGTATAGGTCTCTTTTCAGGAGAATGCACTTTTCAGATTAATCCCAATGTTAGACCTATTGTCAATCCCCACACAAAGTGCCTGTAGCCCTACGCGACAAGCTAGAAGGAGAGTTAGACAGAATGGAGTCAGCACAGATCATCACCAAGGTAACGGAACCAACGGAATGGGTGAACTCATAAGTCGTTACTACTAAGCCAGCATCGGGAAAATTTAGAGTATGTTTGGATCCCATGGAACTTAACAAAGCTATTATGAGGCCACATTATCCTATGAGGACCTTAGACGATATCCTTCCTCAAGTCTCAGGAGCCAAGTGCTTTTCTAAGCTAGATCCCAGCTCTGGTTACTGGACTGTTAGGCTTTCACGTGAATCATCTCTGCTCACTACATTCAATACTCCATTTCGGAGATACCGCTACCTGCGTTTACCATTTGGCTTGAAGAACTCGCAAGACATCTTCCAGCAGGAGATAGACGAATGCTTCGAAGGAATGCCAGGAGTTGCTGCCATCGTTGATGACATATTGGTTTATGGCATGACACCACAAGAGCACAATGACAACTTAATCAAGGTGTTAGATGCAGGAGTGTGGGCATCAAGATGAACAAGGAGAAATTACAAGTTGGAGTTCAGGAAGTTGAGTATTTTGGCCACATCCTCTCAGCAGATGGATTGAAGCCAGACCCCTCTAAGGTAGCTGCCATTAGGGATATGGAGCCCCCCTCCAACAAGTCAGAGCTTCAGACTATCATGGGTATGATCACTTACCTCTCAAAGTTTGCACCAAATCTTGCTAACATCACCAGTCCGTTACGTCAGTTGCTGCTGAAAGAAACTGAATTTGTATGGGATGCACGACAGGTCAAGGCATTCCAGAAGGTCAAGGACCTTATAACCAGAACACCGGGACCTCTGCTTACATACTATGACCCATGAAAACCAGTAGTATTGGAAACTGATGCATCGCAGTTTGGACTCAGAGCTACGCTTTTGCAGGATGGCAAACCAGTTGCATTTGCTTCGAAGTCACTTACGCCAGCAGAAATCAAGTATGCGCAGATAGAGAAAGAGATGTTGTCTATCCTATTTGGCTGCAAGAAATTTCACCAGTACCTGTATGGTAGGGAAGTCCAGGTCCATACAGACCATAAACCCCTAGTTGCCATTCACACAAAGCTACTCGCACAGGCCCCAGCAAGCTTACAAAGGATGCTTTTGCAGCTTCAGGCCTATGATCTGAAGTTGACGCACATCCCAGGCAAAGACATACCAATTGCGGATACCCTTTCACGCAAGGTTCTGCCAGATACATACTCACTGCTAACAGCAGGCATGGATCTACATGTACATACAGTGATCTCCAGTACTCGGATGAGTGATAGAAGATGATTAGCAACCAAGCTGACCCACAGATGAAGATACTTACAAACATAATACATGATGGTTGGCCTGAAAAACGCAAAAAATGTCCATCCCAAGCACTAGGATATTGGAACCATAAGGATGAGTTGACAGAGATAGATGGCATTATATTTCAGGGTCACAAGATAGTCATACCAAAAGACTTAAGATGCCAGATGATGAAAGCTATACATATCGGCAACATGGGTGTGGAAAAATGCTTGAGGAGAGCTAGAGACATTATATTTTGGCCCAGGATATCAGCAGACATCATTAACATGGTTCTGGAATGTGGAGTTTGCTTAGAGATGAGGAACTCAAACCCAAATGAGCCACTGATCTGTCATGATATTCCAGACTACCCATGGGACACCATAAGCTACAGATTTGTTCACATGGAACAACCAGGAGTACCTGTTAGTGGTTGATTACTACAGCAGATACTTTGAAATAGAGAAACTACACAAGACAACCAGTCAAGCTGTTATAGAAAAAATGAAGAAGATGTTTAGTAGGCTTGGTATTCCACGAAAAGTTGTATCGGATAATGGTCCACAATACGCAAGCCAGGATTTCTCCATACGAGGGGTGATTAAAAAGTTCGCGAACTAAGTTGAATTACTTCCTTAAAAGAAATAAAATGAGGTTTCAGTGCTCATTATTTTTTAAAGTAGACCTCTCTGATTATAATGCACATCTGCCGTTATTCTGCCCATGCGCGAATCACGTGATCAAGGCGGTCACGAGACATGCTCCGTGGCGTTCTGTTCACAAGAGCTAAAGATTTTTCCGAGTCTTATATTTCTTACCATGCAAGTTATTTTTTATAACAAGAATAGTCCATCTTTCAGAAATGGCCAAATCTCGGAAATAGGATGGGTGTATAAGGACATCCCTTCCCAAAATTAGCATGGTGATCATCAAAACCCGAGTCCTCTGTCTCGGGAGCGTCATTTATCCAATGTGGATAAAGTATGGACGACCTCTTTTTATCATATCTCATATGTTCAAAGTCTAAAGTAAACGATATTTTAGGGATTTAATAATTATATTATTGTTAAGATATTCAGTTATTTTTCTAATTGTAACTTGGCGTTCTTTCATGACAAATTGCTCAACTAAGGACACATCTTTCCCCCGGCTTGCTTTTGCTGGGCAACAGAACAAACATCATTTCTAACCATCTCCCTGCCTTCACTAAAACAATCAATCCAATTAATGATTGAACTCCTGGTAAGTCTTTTGTCTTTATAAACCTTGTACAAATTATTATATTCTACTGCAAAGGAATTTCCAAGATATATGTTAAACTTTACAGTCGTTCGTTACTCGCATACGACTGAGTCAACCATTTTTTGTCACAAGTCACCTACATACTGACGTCATTTTATATTGTGACGTCACACACACGGAGCAAAGCATTATATAACACCTGCTATTTATAGAATATGTGTATGACTATATGTGTGAAAAATTTCATTCTGATTGGAATTGTAATTTTGTAAATATAGAGATAGTTCGCGAACTTTTTGATCACCCTTCGTATTTGCTCAGGAGTAGGACTTTAACCATATCACTTCCAGTCCAAAGTATCCACAGTCCAATGGATTGGTGGAGAAAACAGTACAGATTGCCAAAAGAATCTTGGATAAGAGCAAGGCAGATGGGAAAGATTATAATCTAGGACTACTAGAATACAGGACAACAGCTTTGAACTTTGGCTACTCACCCGCCCAACTATTAATGAGTAGGAAGTTAAGGTCTATACTTCCAGTAGTTTCGGATGAACTTAAACCAAAGGTGCCAGTCAGGGTTAGGGAATTGATGGAAGCAGAGAGAGAGAGACAGAAAGAATACTTCGATCGCAGTGCTAAGCCTCTACCACCCCTTTCAGTAGGAGACAGTATAAGGTACCAAGAAGGGAAACTATGGAAGCAAGGAATAGTCACCAAAGAAGAGGGAGACAGATCATATACAGTAAAAAGCACAGAGGGAGCACTGTTCCGGAGAAACAGACGACACCTGATCAACTCAAAAGAAAAAATTGAGCCTGATACATCAGACTCCAATATTTTGGACAGTTGGTGCTAGGGCTTTCATATTTTACATCTTTATACCTTGTGACAAGACCTTCCTTTGGATACCAACAATTGTAATCCAATGACCTTGATCTTGGAGTTTGACCTACTTTTGAAAAACTTTAAACTTGACGATTGGTGCTAAGGCTTTCATATTTCACATGTGTATTTCTTGTGAGAAGGCCTTTCCTTGAGCACCATCAATTTTGACCATTTGACCTTGACCTTATGATTGACTTACTTTTGAAAAACTTTAACCTTTTCCATATCTATCAATGGTTGCTGCTAAGGCTTTCATCTTTCACAGGTATATTTCTCGAGACAAGACCTTACTTTGGGTACCAAGTTGCCATAGGGGGCAACAGTGTTTCACAAATACATCTTGTATATTTTTATGCGCCCGTAATCGATGACTTGGGGCAAATAGTTTTTGTCCTGTCCGTCTGCCTGTCTGTTTGTCCTCAAAAACTTTAACCTTGCTCTTAACTTTTGATTGTTAGAGCTATGGCTTTCATATTTCACATGTGTATTCCTTGTGACAAGACCTTTCTTTGGGTACTAACAATTTGGGCCCATTGACCTTGACCTTGGAGTTTGACCCACTTTTGCTAAATTTTATCAGACTTTAAACTTCGCCATAAATTTTGAACAGTTGGTGCTAGGGCTTTCATACTTCATATGTATATTCCTTGTGACAAGACCTTCTTTTGGATACCAATAACTTTGAACCTTGGCCTTCTTATGGATACCAACAACTTTGACCCTATGCTTTGACAGCTATGGCTTTCATATTTCACATGTATATTCTTTGTGACAAGACCTTCCTTTGGATATCAACAATTTTGGCCCATTAACCTTGTCCTTGGAGTTTGTCCTACTTTTGAAAAACTTAAACCTTGGTCATAACTTTTGAACAATTGGTGCTAGGGCTTTCATACTTCAAATGTGTATTCCTTGTGAAAATACCTTCCTTTGGATACCAATAATTTGGGCCCATTGAGCTTGACCTTGGGAGTTTGATCTACTTTAAACATAGGTAATCAGAGATTACAGAGCTCACCTCAATGAATATTGTCTTTAAGTAGTCCCACACTACACTAATAATCTAGGAGTGTGCATCCCTTGATGCAACATTTATGCAATTTTGGTCTGATAGGGCTTGTAGTTACTTGGAAATAGACTTATCTAAAAACTTAAAACAAGTCACTCATCCAGAAAATGTAAGTCAAATCCAGCATCTGAAGCAAGTTTGAGAGTGTTCGTCCCTTGATGCATCATCCATGCAAGTTTGGTTCAGAGAGGCATATAGTTACTTGGAAATGAGATCTGCTCCAAAAACTTTAACCTGGTCACTCATCCGGAAAATGTCAGGCAGATCCAGCATCGGAAGCAAGTCCAGTAGTGTGCATCCTTAGATATATCATCCATGCAAGTTTAGTCAATATAGGGCTTATAGTTAGTTGGAAATGAGATCTGCTCCAAAAACTTTAACCTGGTCACTCATCCGGAAAATATAGGTCAGATCCAGCATCTGAAGCAAGTCCAGTAGTGTGCATTCTTAGATGTATCACCCATGCAAGTTTAGTCAATATAGGGTATATAGTTACTTGGAAATGACCTTTAACCTGGTCACTCATCCTGAAAATGTAGGTCAGATCCAGCATCGGAAGCAAGTCCAGTAGTGTGCATCCTTAGATGTATCATGCATGCAAGTTTGGTCAATATAGAGCTTATAGTTACCTGGAAATGAGATCTACATAAGTTCCCCCAACTTCGTTGAGGTGAGCTAAAAAAAACTATCCTTGGCCATAACATTTGAACATTTAGTTCTAGGGCTTTCATATTTCATGTACGTGTGTATCACTTGTGACAAGACCTTCCACTGGGCACCATTTGACCTTGACATTGATGTGTTACTTACTTTTGAAAAATTTTAACCTTCGCCATAACTTTTCAATGGTTGGTGTTAAGGCTTTCATATTTCACAGGTGTACTCCTCGAGACAAGACCTTTCTTTGGTTACCAACATTTTTGATCTTTTGACCTGGAGTTTGACTTGCATTTGAGAAACTTTAGCCTTCAGCTGCCATACGGGGGCATCAGTGTTTCACAAACACATCTTTTTTTATGCCCCCGTATCGCAGATTCGGGGGTATATAGTTTTTGCCCTGTCCGTCCGTCTGTCTGTCTGTCCGCAAAAAACTATAACCTTGCCCATAACTTTTGATTGGTAGGAGCTGTGGCTTTCATATTTCACGTGTACTCCTTGTGACAAGACCTTTCTTTTGATACTACAATATTTGACCTTTTGACCTTCGAGTTTGACCCAGTTTTGCAAAATTTTACCAAGCTTTAACCTTGAACATAACTTTTGAACGATTGGTGCTAGGGCTTTCATACTTTACATATGTAATCCTTATGACAAGACTTTTCTCTGGATACCAACAACTTTGACCCTATGACCTTGGAGTTTGACCTGTTTTTGGAAAACTTTAACCTTGGTCATAACTTTTGAACGATTGGTGCTTCGGATTTAATATTTCACCTGTGTATTTCTTGGGAGAAGACTTGTCCTTGAGCACCATTAATTTTGACCATTTCAGCTTGACCTTGATGTTTGACATACTTTTGAAAAAATTTTAACCTTTTCCATATTTATTCAATGGTTGCTGCTTTGGCTTCATATTTCACAGATATATTCCTCGAGACTAGACCTTACTTTAAGTACCAACATATTTGCTTGGCATTTGAGAAGTTTAACCTTTGCTACAAGTTGCCATACAGGGGCATCAGTGTTTCACAAACACATCTTCTTCAACTGTGTTTTGTTTGCAACACTTAGTTATGACCTTAATTAGTACTGCTGACAAAACATTGCAGTTATTGCGCTTACATAACCTCAATTATCAAAACTTTTGTTTCATTAATTACATACACACCTAAAAAGGACAAAAATACGATTATGGTACTCTAGTCCCAAGCTTAGAGAAACTATGAGTAAAATAAATCATACATGTATTTATCGAGGAAATATTTTCTTTTTAGTCCCCTACCGGTGAAACCCTCAGTCTGTCAGTCTCTCCCACCTCCATACTTTTTTCTAAAGCTTGCAGATATTTTTTTTTTGATTTTGGGTATGCAAGTGATGAGTTACAGATCAAGTTTGCAATTTGTTCCACTTCAGTGATTTTTAGCTGAATTACAGTCTTTTTAATCTTAAAAGGTTTTCCACACTTTTTTTCTAAATGTTTGCAGATATTGAGATGATTTTTGGTGTGCGAGAGTATCTTGATCAGTAACAGGTCAGATATTCATTTTGTTCCACTTGGAAGTTTTTTCTAAACTCATGCAGATTTCAGCTGATTTTTGGTATGTGTGGGTATCTTGATGATATAGATGTTATAGATCAAGTTTGCATTTTGTTCCTATTCAATGATTTTTAATGGAATGAAATTTTCAATTTTTAATGGGCACCAGATTACAGTTGCCGGTAGGGGACCAGTATTGCTAATGCAATACTCTCAGAATGCTTGTTTATTTGATAAATAAATGAAGTCTGGAAAACCATTTTCTTTTGAAAGATCTGTTTGAGTTTCCTGCATGTACCAATTTTTTTTTGTTGAACAACAAAGAGGTAACTCTGCTTTTGGTACATATAAATGTCATTTTAATACTTTTTTAAATAGCATTTGTGTCTATATTTGCAAAAAAGCAATGAAAAACAATATATATACATGTAAACATGTACATGTGCAAAGAAAAATTTGATATGATGCTTCTTCTCTGGCACACATACACAGCTTTCAGAAACATACAAATTGCACATTAACCTATGTTTAACATCCATCCATCCCCTTGCAGTGACATTTATAATCTTCACACTAACAACCAGTTTGTAGAATGAGGATTCAGTAATGTATGAGATCCCTGCGGCTTGTTATATCGTGGAGTCCACATGTCCATTTGTCTGTGTGACATCACTTTGTGACAATGTTATAGAGTCAGCAGGGGCTGCTATGTCTGGTGCACTACGTAGAGTTGTATCTAAACCCTCCTCTTTGAAAAACATAGGGTTACTAAAGTTTGTGGAATCTATTTCACTACCACATAAGTTTGGATTTGGCTGAAAAATAATTTAGTAGGTGAAACTTTAAATTAAGTTAAAAGTTCATAAAATGCTAGTAAACAGAAATGGACAAGTTTTAATGAAGACCTGAGTAAATTGGTGGGGAGGCAAAGTGAAAGAAAATTGAAAAACAATATTATCTTACTTCCTCAAAATTGAAGGGCGGAGCGAGTTGAACATTGCCCCCGTCTCTGTAGGACACAGTGCTGGATCCCACTTTCAGGTCTCGAGCTTTCAGCAACAGTTTTCTGTCAAGATTAAAACATTTCATATGACAGTACAGAAAGTTCTCAAATCAGTCAATGTAGCTTCTAGCAATTTATTTTAAAATATTTCCCCAATTAATGATAATGTCAGGTTTATCAAAACTTCAATTGCCCCTACTAATTTTGTAAATTTACAAAATGAACGGAATTCCTCTTTACTACACAATAGCATCATTCATGTGTTAAATAATGACTTGTAGAATGTGAGTGAGCACATGAAATACATCCTACCCTTTTTTCTTCAAGATGAACAAGAACAAAATGAAGGCTACAGTAACAAATGTGACTATGATGACTGGAACTATTATCCCAACCACATCTGAAAATAAAGTTTGAGATACTGTATTCACATCTACACAACCTCCTTTTCCTACATTTTTATTTCTATAAGTTTATAAATCAATGCTGGGTATTAATCTTAAAAGTTATACACATAATTTAAAACTGCAGTGTAGGTTGAGATACCTGTGGCAGAATCTTCATTGATCAATTTTTCTGGCAGTTTTACAAGGCACTCCTCCCCACTGTAACCTAATGAAAGAAAAAAAATGCACAAATTTCTCAAATATATCCACAAAAATGACTTATCATGTGTACTGTTAAAGTACTTTTTTTAAAAATGTTATACCGCATGAGGACTGTTGATTGAATCCTACATACCAGTTAGACATTGACATGATTTGGAGCCATTGATCATTAAACAAGTTCCTCCGTTGTAACACACACAGAGTTCTGGGTCTGGTATTTCCTCTTCCCAGGCTGTAATGAAGAACAATAATCTTATCACAGATGAAAATCTCAATTAATTACTTGTTCAGGATATGCCTTTTGTTATGTTCCAGTCCAAAGGGAGAGAGAGAGAGAGAGTGAGAGATACCTGCATCACATGTATAGGGATCCCTGAACTGTGCTCTTTCTGGACAGGCACATCTGAAGCCATCAGGGGTCAGCAGACACAAGTGACTGCATCTCTCAGTGGACGACAGGCAACGATTCTTAACTGTAACAGACAATATACATATGCATAGTGTTGCAACTATTCCCTTAATGCAAGATATACTTTAATTCATATACCTGTCATATTGTGTCTTCTTGGGTGGAAGATTTTGAGGGAGGATGGAAGCAGAAGTCCAGCCTGTAATGTGACATTGACACCACGCCCAAACTTGTCCATGGTCATCAGCTTCCCAGTCTGTTGAGAGGCCCAGTACAGGGTACTCTCAAACACATCCAAACTGATGGGATTCACTATACCTAAAACATTTTAAGTTTTTCAATTTATTTTGAGCAAAAAGGACTGTGCAAATTTTAATCACAAAAGCAAAAATAACAAGATGTGTTTGTGAAACACTGATGCCCCCGTATGACAGCTTATGGCGAAGGTTAAAGTTTCTCAAATGCAAGTCAAAATTCAGGCCAAAAGATAAAAAATGTTGGTACCCAAAGAAAGGTCTTGTCTCGAGGAATATACCTGTGAAATTTGAAAGCCCTAGCTGCAACTGTTCAAAAGTTATGGTGAAGGTTAAAGTTTTTTTAAAAGTAAGTAAAACGTCAAGGTGAAGGTCAAAGTTGTTAGTGTCCAAAGGAAGGTCTTGTCACAAGGATTACATATGTGAAGTATGAAAGCCCTAGCACCAACCATTCACAAGTTATGGCCAAGGTTAAAGTTTTTTGAAAGTAGGTCAAACTCCCTATGTCAAGGACAAAGGGTCAAAGTGGTTGGTATTCAAAGGAAGGTCTTGTCACAAGGATTACATATGTGAAGTATGAAAGCCCTAGAATCAACCATTCAAAAGTTATGGCCAAGGTTAAAGTTTTTCAAAAGTAGGTCAAACTCCTAGGTCAAGGTCAAAAAGGTTGACATCCAGAGAAAGGTCTTGTCACAAGGAATACACATGTGAAGTTTGAAACCCCAAGCACCAACTGTTCAAAAGTTATGGCCAAGGTTAAAGTTCTTCAAAAGTAGGTCAACCTCCAAGGTCAAGGTCAAAAGGTCAAAGTTGTTGGTATCCAAAGGAAGGCCTTGTCACAAAGAATACACATGTGAAGTTTGAAACCCCAAGCACCAACTGTTCAGAAGTTATGGCCAAAGTTTAAAGTCTCATAAAAGTTTGCAAAAGTGGGTCAAACTCCAAGGTCAAGGTCAAAAGGTCAAATATGATGGTACCCAAAGAAAGGTCTTGTCACAAGGAATGCACATATGAAATATGAAAGTCATAGCTCCAACCAATCAAAAGTTATGGGCAAGGTTAAAGTTGACAACAGGCAGACAAACATACAAACAGACAGACAAAGAGACAGACATGACAAGAACAATATACCCCCGGGATCTTTCGATCCGGGGCATAAAAATAGTAGTAAAAAGGTGTGACCCCCACCTTTAACATGCTATATATGAGAACGGTTGTAAATCATTATGACTAACTGTGGCCCTGCTGTTCTTCAAATTTTTACAACAAAAAAAATCCCTTAATATTAAAAAAATCTTACCCCTCTCTAGCCTTCGGGGGGGCATGATTCAAACAAACCTGAATCTTCACTAAATGTGAATTTATTTATTATGCTACACTGTAGTCCTTCTGTTTTTGAGAAGTTTTTAAAGATTTCCCCCATTTATTCGCAATTCAAACACTGGTGAGTGGCTCAACTGGACGGATCAAACTGAAACAAACCTGATCCAAACAAGAAGTCTGTGAGCCAATGCTCACTAGTAATACCCCCACTCTGATGTGAATATACACTCTAAGCACAGATAAACATGAAGTTGATATCAGATTCATACAAAAATGAATCCCACCATATGGCATGCCTAAACAAAGAGTGTGTTAAAATTTCAAACATCTGTGATGAGTAGTTGCTGAGAAAACTGTGATGAAAATTTGTGATGTATGGTACAGACAGATGCACGGATAAACAGGAAGTTGACCACGGATTCCTACAAAAATGAATCCCACCTTATGACATGCCAAAACAAAGAGTGTGTTAAAATTTCAAGCATCTGCGATGAGTAGTTGCTGAGAAAACTGTGACGAAAATTTGTGATGTATGGTACTGACAGACACACGAATAAACAGGAAGTTGACCACATATTCCTACAAAAATGAATCCCACCATATGGCATGCCTATAAACAAAGAGTGTTAAAATTTCAAGCATCTGCGATGAGTAGTTGCTAAGAAAACTGTGATGAAAAATTTGTTATGGACAGACAGACACACACACACACAGACAGACACACAAGGGTAAAACAGTATACCCCCCTCTCCTTCGGAGCGGGGGTATAACAATGAATGTGAGAAGGACAGTGCAAAAATCATTGGATGGAGAAGTTGCAGAAGCAAGAACTTCAAGAATGTCAGAGATCTAACACCAATCTAGTCTGGACACAGTCCAATGGTTGTGCAAATGCAGTGCACTGTTACCACCAGCAAGACACAGGAGGATCCAAGCCTAAATACACACCACAATCTCTCAGCTTCTGAGTCATCACTCGACAGAGCTGCAGATCTATCAGGGGACTTTGACCAAAGGCAAGTCAAAGGCCACAAGAAAGACTAGAACTGTCCAAAAGGGACAAATACCCCCCGCTGGGTTTTTCAGAGGTGCCAAATCACTAATATTTTATGGATCAAAGAGGTGTTCACAATTTTCTTATTAACATTTAGAGTGAAAAAATAATTGCTCATTATATTTTTTTAAGAATGAAACTAAGGAACAACCTAATAAAACATCAATACCAATACATTGTAATTACATTGTTTTTAATACATTGAAAAAATAAATTGCAACTATCTATCATCTTTTTGAGACATGACATTCTGCAAATTGATTTTTTGAAGAAAAAAATCAATTAATTACAAAATCAAATTAATCTTGATAACTTTATATCAAATTCATTTTAAAAATGAAAGGCTGGTCATCCTTTAACTATGTACTATGACAGACAATAAATTACAATGAAGAGAATTAAAGAACAGAGATCTTTAAATTCCCAGGAGATATAGATAACACACATGCTTGATCAGAGATGCCCTAACAGCTTCCCACACTGAACTCATTAATTAATCTTTAACTGGATGCATGTTCCACTCATTACACCCAAGGGACAAATGGATTTACACTATCTGCTGTGTAATGTAAAAACTGTTTTTAATACTTGGTGATATTTTTTTTTGTTTTAATGAATAGTTTTAAGCTGTAGTTCACATTTTTGTACAGATGTTCTAGATTCTGTGTCTCAAACCTTAGAAATAAACCCAAAATGACTAAGTCAATAAAAATGGGGAAAAAAACTGTAAAATGCAGAAAAATTATCAAATAATGTTGAAAATACCAGGTGCACATCTTCATATGGTAAATAATGAGTGTACAAATTTTCATACAATTCTATGAAATAGTCTTTGAGAAAAGGTCAGGACAAAACCACATAATAACAATGAAAAAAAACACCTGTAAAATGCAGAAAAATTATTTAATCATGATGAAAATACCAGGTGCAAACCTTCATATGGTGAATAATAAGTGTACAAATTTTCAGACAGATCTATGCAATAGTTTCCGAGAAACGCTCTGGACAAAATCTTGTCTACAGACAGACGGACAGACAGAAGGACATGGTGATTCCAATATACCCCCCCTAAACTTCGTTTGCAGGGGGTATAATAAGAGAGGTGATGTTACCTAAGATGGAGGATGACACAGCATGAAACAGCTTCGACAATGACTTCAGTGCAATTCTGGAAACAACTGGCAATTCAGATTGAAAGCTTGTGGCATTTGGCAACCTCATAGTTGTATATAAATTTGGGAAAGAAAGATTGTGTACTTATAAAGGAAACAACAGAAGAGAGGAGAGATCAGGTAATGTTGTGAAGAACTGAGGCAACTCAACAGGGCTATAGTTTACTGTAATCATGGCTGAAGAAGGGACTACCAGGAAAGTATAAAGCTTGGGTTTACCAGCATGGAATCCTGTTGAGACAGATGAGGTTGCTTCTGATTTATAAGGTGGTAGAGGGCTTGCAGAAGGCAGTCAACAGCTAAGGCTTTACTTCAATTAGACTCTATAGCAAGACATCTCCAATTATCCCAATCATCAGTGATTGAAGAGTTCAAAGTAGCTAAACACAGACAATGATGACTTTAAGAGACTTATTAGATCAAAAGGTCCATGATGCTGGAGTACAGACAAGGTCAGGACACAAGTGGTAACCATTTACAGCAGTAAACAGAGAAAATGCTGAAATTGCAGGACATAATCAGCAACATGTGCACATGCAGAGAAGGTATTGGTGTATCCTAATTTCAACAATGGGCCATGGTTGACAAGACCAAAAGGAGGAGCATGGCCCAGGGAGAGGTGAAAAGAGAGGTTGAAGATGCCGCCAGTTCACGGCCAGCAGGGGGTCTGGATGAGATGGTAGCTTCCACAATGCAATATTACATGATCAGATCTATGGAAGATGGATCCATTCAGGATAGAGTTTTTTACTGGGATTGGTGTATGATACTTTGATACAACTTTCACCAGCTAATTTACAACAGTGCGGACTCACAGAAGATCCTGCTTGCAAACTGTGTGGAAAAAGGAGCATTATGTTGCACATATTATCTGGGTGTTCTGTTGCACTGATGCAAGTCTGGTACATCTGGAGGCATGGTAAAATCTTAATGAACCTGGCTGACATGGTGGAGATCTATAAGAGATCTTTAACATTAAAGCTCACTTGAGCCTTTGGCTCATGTGAGACTAAAAGTACCAGTCACCAGTCTGTTACTTTCATAACTTGTAAATCTGACATAAATACTGAGAAGATGCTATACATACCTCTCCCTATCACTGTGACTCTGTCTGACCCATCAGCATTCATTGACTCAATGAGGTTTTCTTTAGAGTCACACCAGAACACTCTGTCATTCATGTGGTCATCAATGGCCAACCCTGTGGGGCGCCCCAGGCGAGTTGATACCAACTCCTCTCGGTGATCACCATTCATCCAAGCCCTCTCGATCTTTGGATAAGAGCCACTTGCATCAGTCCAATACATCCAACTGAGAAATAGTAATCATATACACTGTATATTGAAAGGTTACATTTCTTTGTTACTTCCAATTGATCAAGCAAAGTATTCTATTATTCTATTATTGTACATTATTGCAATGTAGGAGTAAGGCATAGGAAATGCAGATATCTTTGAATTTAAAACACTTCAATTTTCACTCATAAGGTAACAACTTTACCAAAAATAACAATTCCATGGTAATTTTGTCAACAACAAAAAACAATGTTGACTTCTATAGATCTCAGAGAAAATTTGGTAATGACTGCATCTAAAGCTTTCCATTCTTTGTTAATCCTGCCATGGACATTTTTCTAATCTTATTTGCCCAAATTCTTTTTTTAAATTTTTACTTTAATTTGACCCCGACATACCCTAATTTTGAATTGACAGCAATAGCCAGAGGGAATTGCAGGTCATCCCTGATTAAAACCTTGGCATATCTACCATCACTTTTAGCCACAGATATTGTATTATGTGCAGAATCTGTCCAGTATATGTTCCTGAAAGACACAAAATGAAAATGCATTGGTATATCTTGTTATATTGAGAAATCTGAATGTCTGATAAATTACTTTAAAAAACCACAATCATGATTTTAGTTCTGATAGGAAGTCTAATACATCCTCGATTTAATGAGAATCTCTTGTCCTTACCTAGCCACTGAATTCAAAGCCTTGCTATTATCATGAATCTGATATATTCACCTACCAATCCAGTATTACATGTATAGGTACATCCCAAGATAAATTTGATATCTTTATCTAGCCATTCAGCCTATAACAACAAGACAAATATTAAAGTTGTAATGATATATCAGATACCGGTATATCCTGATACATTTCCCCTGAAGTTGGTTACTGGTACAGCAATCCGGAATACCTTTTTTTTTTTAATTCCAATTTGAAAATTAGAATTCACATCATTTAATTGCTTTAAAAAAATTATGTTTAAATTTGGTATGTTACCTAGCCACACAGATTCATCGATCCTAGTTTGTGTGAATCTGATATCTAATAACCCAGTCTTCAGCCACAGGAATTAATCCACTGTCACACGATTACATGACTATGAAATCTTAAATAGCAAAACAGTCTGTACCCACATGATTAACAGGAATCTTGACATCTTGCCTAACCACTATTCATAGACAAACTATTAACATGACTTATGTCTTACCTAGCCACCCAGTCAATAGTGGCCTGATTGAGATAAATGTGATACCTTACCTAGCCACCCAGTCAATAGTGACCTGATTGAGATAAATGTGATATCTTACCTAGCCACCCAGTCAATAGTGGCCTGATTGAGATAAATCTGATATCTTACCAAGCAACCCAGTCAACAGTGGCCTGATTGAGATAAATCTGATATCTTACCAAGCTACCCAGTCAATAGTGGCCTGATTGAGATAAATCTGATATCTTACCTAGCCACCCAGTCAATAGTGGCCTGATTGAGATAAATGTGATATCTTACCTAGCCATCCAGTCAATAGTGGCCTGATTGAGATAAATGTGATATCTTACCTAGCCATCCAGTCAATAGTGGCCTGATTGAGATAAATTTGATATCTTACCTAGCCATCCAGTCAATAGTGGCCTGATTGAGATAAATTTGATAAAATGTGATATCTTACCTAGCCACCCAGTCAATAGTGACCTGATTGAGATAAATGTGATATCTTACCTAGCCATCCAGTCAATAGTGGCCTGATTGAGATAAATGTGATATCTTACCTAGCCACCCAGTCAATAGCCACATCCTCGGGCTGGTAAGTCACAATGTTGAGGTCTTGTGGCAGGGCCTCAGTGTCCACCTTCATGTTTTGTGGGATCCCTGCCCTTCGGATCTTTTTCATTGACGTATCTGTCCAGTAGATCAGTTTGCGACCCATGTCAACATCTATTCCTCCAAGATACTGTCCACTATTTACAGTTCCTGAGTAGTCCTTACGATCTAGAATTATCTGACGAATCTCGTGTCCAGTGGTGAAGAAGACAGCAGTCATTCCTGTCCAAAAATTGTTTTAAAAAATCAGACTCTGCTTGAAAAATGATTTTACACCATTAGCCAAAAGATTTTCATATGGCCTATTGATCCTACAGAAATGTACTCTTGCTAGAAAACTGACTGGAAAACAGTAGTGGCTTTAAATATGGATATAACTTTAATAAGTTAGCTACAAATTAATTACCTTCTGCTTTACACTTTGTTCCCTTGCCTTTGACATCAGAGAATCCATCATAACACATACACTTATAGGAGCCCTTAACATTGTGACACATCTGAGGACACTGGTTTCCCCATGTGGAACACTCATCAGCATCTATCAAAAAAGATTTTAAGGTATGGTTTGATTAATGATGTTCTGAAAAGGAATTCTCAAATCAAATCCATGTGTTACAGGAAGGGAGAAAATGTGATGGATCACACAATGATTCAACCCCGCTAAACTCTAGACAGATGCCCAACCAATTCTTCTATCTGAGCACCAGAAACTGAACCTATCTGATTACCATACTTGAATGAGCTGGACCAAATAATCCTAATTTCATGGTTAAGACAGAAGAAATGTATTAAAATTTGTCTGTCTGTATCTGTCTGATGATTTGATACTGATACAAACCTTCACACATTTTTTTATCACTGGAGATCTGGAAGCCTGGTTTACAGGAACACAAGAATCCGGATCCTTTCAGATCCGTACAATTGTGATCACACCCACCATTGTTTACACTGCAGTTCACATGACCAACAGATTTATCTACAAACGGGAAAAAAAATCCTTTCACTTAGGAACAATTACAGCTTTTAGAAACAAACTTTCTACACGTATACATTTACATGCAGAGTAACTAATTTAATTTGTATTTTGCTACAAAACATAAGACAAGCTTTCACATATCATGCAGCAAAGAATGTAATGTAACTATAATAGGAAAATTTTTCCCTCAAGAATGAGTACATGTACTAGTGTAATTAGAGTATGGTTGCAGAAAAAGAAGATACTTACGGCATCCAATTTCATCTGACAAATCTCCACAGTCATCAGCATTGTCACACACTTTTGTAGCATTAATACATTTCTTATTGGCACATTTAAACTGTGAAGGATCACAATGGTCAAATTTCACACCACCTGAAACATTTTTGACATACTATACAATATTCTGAGAAATATCACTATAAACTTGCTTTACCTGATATATTACCCATTGCTTGACTAACCTATGTAGATTTTGAAAAAAAAAATAGCTTTCAAGTGAAGTAATTCTACTTCTGGTGGTGTATGTTCACAAAAGTTTAAAAAGTCTGAATAATTTCTTACAAATATCCAAGTTATTTTCATCGGACCCATCTCCGCAGTTATCCACCTTGTCACAAAGGCGCCACCTAGGAATACACTTGTTGTTCTGGCATCGGAATCGGGTTTTAGGATCACAGGGTATGTTACTGCAGACCGCGTCTTCTTCATCTGATCCGTCCCCACAATCATTATTACCATCACATCGCCACTCCTTGGGTATACAGATCTGGAAATACCATAATCATATTAATTTTGTTTATTTGTAATCTCTGATCTAGACAGATTTAAAAGTTCCTCAATGCTCCTTTTAAGATTATATTACTTAAATTTG